GGAAGAACACACAACACTATGTGTGGAGAAAAAAAGGCACAGCACACCAACATCAAAACCTCATCCCCACTGTAAAACATGGCGGAGGGAGCATCATGGTTTGGGGCTGCTTTGCTGCCTCAGGGCCTGGACGGATTGTTGGCATTGATGGGAAAATGAATTCCAGAGTTTATCAAGACATTTTGCAGGAAAACCTACGACCATCTGTCCGCCAACTGAAGCTCCGCAGAGGATGGGTGATGCAACAGGACAATGACCCAAAGCATACAAGTAATTCAACAAAACAATGGCTGCAACAGCACAGAATACGCCTTCTGGAGTGGCCCAGTCAGAGTCCTGACCTCGACCCGATTGAAATGCTGTGGCATGACCTTAAGAGAGCGATTCACACCAGACATCCCAAGAATATTGCTACACTGAAACAGTTTTGTGAAAATTGTCCAAAATTACTCAGATCATTGTGCAGGTCTGATCTGCAACTACAGGAAACGTTTGGTTGAGGTTATTGCTGCCAAAGGAGGGTCAACCAGTTATTGAGTCCAAAGGTTCACATACTTTTTCCTCCCTGCACTGTGAATGTTTACATGTTATGTGCAATTAAACCATAGCAACATCTAATGTTTGTGTAGTATTATGTTCAGCAGACTGTGTTCTTCCATTGTTGTGACTTAGATGACGTTCAGAGCACATTTTATGCCCAATTCATGCAAAACGCCACGTAATCCCAAGGGGTTCACATACTTTTTCTTGCAACTGTACTTGAAACATAAGTCTCAAGGTAATGTTCATGAAAAAAAGTCCATATAACATAATGAATCAAATCAAGGAAATACACTGTTACAGTGTCTCCTTCAAGCAAGTTTTGGAGTTTTCCCACCAATGGTTATATATACAAACAGAAAACATGGAGAGGAAAAGAGCACCACTGTCTAAGCATAGTAGTGATAGGAAAAATCAATTCAAGTACTGGATGATAATCCTAAGCATTGCACTCACATACACATGAATAAAACACGTTGCAAAAAAAAAGAAACCAAAGGAAGAGTGGACTGCTCCAAGCGTAGCATTATTTATTAAACCAAAAGATGAAAATGAACTCACATTTAGCAAGTAAAGCAACAGGCATTGTATCAGGAACTTCCAAATTGAGACATCATATCATGGGTTCTAATCCAGTCCTGGATGGTCATAGGTGGATAAGTATGCCAAAAAGCACTATAGTCTCCTCTTAGGCCTGGTTCACACCTATGCGGTTTTGGGTACTTTTTACAGAAAGGCACTACACTCCATTTAACATGGTTTCCAATGGGACACGTTCACACCAATGCTTTTATCAGGCAGTGCATTTTTGGAAAGGGTCAGAGACTTTTTTTTTTTAAAGGCAAAATGGTGTGTTTTTGGTAGATTTCAATGGAGATGCTGCAGAAAAGCATGTAGTGCTTTTTTGTCACTTTTTTGTTTGTTTGTGACTCTTTTTTAATCTGCCCAATAATAAATTGGCCAAAAAAAATAAAAAGCGCAAAATGCATCAAAAGCGTGTGTGCAAAAACACACCAAAAAAGCACTGCAGAAATGGATCAAAAGAAAAGGTGTAAACCAGGCCTTGAAATGAAACCCAGGAAAACTCATACTGGCGTGTCTGCTTGGAGGCCACAATGGATAAAAGGAAGCAAGATCACTGGCCAGAGGGGCTAGCTGTGATGACATCACACTTTGGGCGTGAGTGGGCAAGACAACGTGTTTCAGGGCAGAATCCCCCTTGCCAGGCACCAGGACTCTGATGGGGATTCTCATCTAAGGGGGCTCTGGTGGGGACCCTTATATAAGCAGGAGTGCTTAAGTGTTACTAAACCCCGGACCCTGCATTCACTATATCTGGTCTCCCAGGACCCTGCATTCACTATATCTGGTCTCCCCAGACCCTGCATTCACTATATCTGGTCTCCCCAAGACCCGGCATTCACTATATCTGGTCTCCCCAGACCCTGCATTCACTATATCTGTCTCCCACAGTACACACAACATGGAAATGCAATTATTTTAGTAAATATAAACTGTTAAATACCTTTTCTCATCAGCAGTTAGAGCAGTCTTGTGACTTCTATCAGTGTCCAGCCAAGCACATGTTAAAGCTTGTAGGAGGAGTTTTCATTCTGTTCTAGGAGGATGAAGGACCCATGACCTCTATCTGGGCAGTGCTGATTGGTCCTGTGCTTATCACATGCACTCCCCCAAGAATAAAAAAACCTCTCTAGCAATAAACACCAAACTGAGCATGTGCAGAGTGGCTCCACACGGTATGTCTTATCAAGAGAAAAGAGGCGGGCACTGGAAGAAGGGGAGAATCAGAGACGTCCAGATCAAACATCCTTTTTACTCAGTGCAGAAAATTAATCCTTTGGGTTCCACAGTGAGTATAACCAGCATGCTTTACTGCATACACAGACTGATTGAACTGCTGTGGGTTTAGTAACACTTTATGGACTCAAGTTTATTTAGATTTTCCTAAATGGCTTTTACTGATTTTTCTTCTTGATTGTCTTAAATCATATGCTGATTACTCCAATTAAAACGTATTCATTCATTTACATTTCCCTTTGCTAATTTATCCCTCAAATAATTTTTGGCCCACAAATATGTGTAAAATTCTGTTCTAGGAGGATTCTGTTCTAGGAGGATGAAGGACCCATGACCTCTATCTGGGCAATGTTGATTAGTCCTGTGCTTATCACATGCACTCCCCCAAGAATAAAAAAACCTCTCTAGCAATAAACACCAAACTGAGCATGTGCAGAGTAACTCCACACGGTATGTCTTATCAAGAGAAAAGAGGTGGGCACTGGAAGAAGGGGAGGATCAGAGACATCCAGATCAAACATCCTTTTTACACAGTGCAGAAAATTAATCCTTTGGGTTCCACAGTGAGTATAACAAGCATGCTTTACTGCATACACAGACTGATTGTACTGCTGTGGGTTTAGTAACACTTTATGGACTCAAGTTTATTTAGATTTTCCTAAATGGCTTTTACTGATTTTTTTTCTTGATTGTCCTAAATCATATGCTGATTACTCCAAATAAAACGTATTCATTCATTTATGGAAAGCACAGTGGCTAAATGGTTAGCACTTCCACCTGGCAGTACTAGAGTCGTTGGTTCGAATCCCAGCCACAGCACCACCTGCCTGGAGTTTGCATGTTCTCCCTGTGCCTGTGTGGGTTTCCTCTGGGTACTCCGGTTTCCTCCCACACTCCAGAGACACGCTGGTAGGTTAATTTGATCCTGTCTAAATTGGCCCTAGTATGTGTATGAATGTAAGTTAGGGACCTTAGATTGTACACCCCTTGAGGGTTAGGGACTGATGTGAATGTACAATATATATGTGTAAAGCTCTGCGCAAACTGACAGCGCTATAGAAGTACCTGAAATAAATTTACATTTCCTTTGCTAATTTATCCCCCAAAAATTTTTTTGGCCCACAAATATTTGTAAAATGATACAATGTGGTGGTTTCATACCGATATGTTTGGAGCCTCCTGATCTAAGGAATCAGGACCAGGAATGAAGTATTCGATGATCGCAGAAACTTCCACAACAAGTCTTGTAAAATGTTGTCTGTTAGAGGTCCAAAGGTTTTTTTTCTGCAGCCCTGAACAAATTGTGTCTAACAGGTTACAAGCGCACTCCTATAAAAAGACACGCCGCAAAGAATAGAAAAGAACTCATTTAAACTCCTAACAATGTTCCAGACATTTTTTTTTATTTGCAGCACCCCAATCAAGAAGACATAAAGAATTCTGTAAGTGGAACTTCCAATCTAAAGATTCTATTACACCTCTGGATGCAACAAAAGCCGCGAATGTGAACGGACTGCGGCCCTATTCCATAGGACAGTTACACTCCAGTGTCTCCGGAGATTCAAATTGGTTGAGAACAAATCTTTCCAGGAACTGCATTGGGATGGTGACATCTCCTGCCTCCTCTATAACAAAGCCTGATCATGGCAGACAAATGATTGTGCCAAGGTTAGGGAAAAGGATAGGAAAGCAGCAGGAGTTAAACTGAAATTAGACGGTGGATTAGGTGAGGATTATTATACTTGACCTGGCTTTCTGCACAGCAGACAGATTACACAAGTGTACACTGGTAAATAAAACCAACAGATCAATAATACAGCTTGCGTCTGCTTTCTATAGAAAAGGAAGGATTATTTCCAACGTTGCTGGGTATGTCTTGTTCTAGAATAATGTGCGTGGCAAAGTAATTGAGAAATGCTTTGTGCTACCAGCTTTATTGCTGTGCCTTTCAAAAAGAGCTGCAATGCATCTCCAAACACATAGCAAAATAAATGAGATATAAAAAAAGGGCGAAGATTCTGCTTCTCGATTTCAAGTTTATTTAATACAATTTAAAGCAGTAGTATAAAAAAAAAAAAAAAAAAAAAAAAAAAACACATTTCCCCTGCAGAATAAATCCTCATGCACACGGGACGTTTTTACAGCGGCTGTTTTTGGCTTTTGATGTTTTTTTTTCTACAGCCAGTAAACCCCCCAGCATGTTATCCTATGTGTTCATACACAGACTGTAATCAACGTTTTTTGGCTGGGACGTTTTTTAGCTGGAAAAAAAAAACAGGACTAGCGGGTTTCTAGAGGAGTGTTAAAAACGCTCTAATGCTAAAAAACGCGGTAAAATGCAGCAAACCGGCGTTTTTGTACTTTTTTTGGTAAAAAAAAACGCAAACGTGGAAAAATGCCACTAGACGAGAATGCAAAAACGCTAAAAAAAAGCTGAAACGTTTTTTGACTTTACACAGCTAACGTTACCAGAGTTACCAAAACGCCCCGTGTGCATGGAGCCTAAAAGCGGCATTTTTTATTCCCATGTGCATGAGGACTGAAAGGCAAGTCTGACAGGGCACAGTGAGCACATTGTTGACACTGATAATCAGTGCCCTGATTATCAGAGCCCATCAGTGCAGCTGATCAGTGCCCATCACCCTAGGTTCACATATGTGCGGGTGGTGCCGCTGCAGATCCGCACGAAAATCAGTGCAGCCGCACCACCCGCACAGAGAAATGCGGACTCGCGGGTGGGTGCCATTAGTTCTAATGGCACGCCGCCCGCACTGGAAAACGCAACCATACTGGGAACCGAGGTTCCCGTGCGGGCTGCGTTTTCAAAAGAAGTGCAGGGACTTCTTCCCTGCGTGTCACGGGCAAGGGAGTCCATTCAAGTGCCAACTATTAGTATTGCCTATCAGTGCCCATCAGTGCTGCCTCATCAGTGCAGCTTATCAGTGCCCATAACTGCCACCTCATCATTGCCCATCAGTGTTCCTCAGTGCACATCAATGCAGCCACATCAGCACACATCAGTGATTATTTGCAAAAATTTGTAACAGAAACTGAAAATTTTTTAAATTTGTCTTAAAGTTTTTTAAAATTTTGTGCATGGAGACGATTGGCATAATGTGCTCGTATGTATAGCATGATAGCACATTATGAAAGCCTTGCATTCGAACAAAGCCCTCCAGCAGAGCACTGTCACTGCTGACAGGGCTTCCATCTTCACCTGGTCTTCATTCCGGGTTCAAGGGCTCTGAACGCTTGATTGGCCAAGCCACGATGACGTCACTTCTGCGCATGGATGCCGAAGTCTCTGCCACGGCACAGGGCTCTGAAAGAACTGCACGGGTATGCCGTTCCTTCAGATCGCATGCACTGGTGATGTTACCCATCGGCAGGGACACTGAATATCTCCTATACAGTGCATTCTTAGGAGACACTCCTACCTATAGGTAAGTTTTATTATAAGACTGCCTGTAGGTAAGTGTCCAGTGGGAATTTACTTCCAGTTTAAGGCTAGGTTCACACCTACGCAGTTTGCGTTTGATCCGTTTCTGCAGTGCATTTTGCTTTGTGTTTTTGAAGCGTTTTGCGTTCTTTCTTCTTGTTGCTAGGCAGATTTAAAAAATGCAAAACACAGCAAAAACACACTACATGCTTTTCTGCAGCATTTCCATTGAAGTCTATAGAACCAAAAATGCAACTTTTTGCGTTCAACTAAGTCCCTGACCCTTTCCAAAAAACGCTTCGGGTGAAAATGCGGAGATGTGAACGTGTCCCATAGGAAATCATGTTAAATGGACGCAAGGGTATTTCTGCAAGACACTGCAGAAAACACTTAGGTGTGAACCTAGGGTATGAAGTGTTCACAAGGCTTTAAACTGGATGTGCTTTGGAGAAAAACAGTTTTTAAAGTTGTTCTAAAAGCTGAAGGTTTTTTTACCTTCACGCATTCTATGAGGGTAAAACAATCCCCTTGCCCCTCCCCCCACATACTTACCTGAGCCCGATCCAGCACTGTGCACAAGAGCAGAAGAAGTTCTCCCGAGTCTTTCCCTCCTCATTAGACAATTTTACATATATTGACATATATTTTTTTTTTATGCAATGCGGTGAACCACAATGAATAGTATGGGGGGAATTTACTAAGACTGATGCAGGCACAATCTTGAGCAGCTGTCCATGGCAACCAATCAGCTTTTATTTTGAGCTTCTTCAGTTAAGTTCTGAAAAATCAAAGCTAGAAACAGATTGGTTGCCATGCACTTGTGCTGCCGATTCCGCTTGCTCCAGTCTTAGTAAATTCCCATCTGTGTGCGTTGCGGTAAGCTGCAGTATGGGTGACATGCCGGTTACTGTCATTGTGCATTGGGGGGGTACTCTAAATGAATGCCACTGCAATGTAACGCACAGACTGTAAAGGTCTATAAGGGGTCTACATGTAGTTACCTAAAAGACTCCGTTCACATGTCCATATTCTGAAGATGTCACATCTAAGTATTCATGCTGACAGAAGGCACGTTCTTGTGGATCATATATTAGACAAAGAAAAATACCTTCTATACACTTTCATCAGTCTTTTCTTAGCAGGAACTCAGTGGTCCTGGAACATGGGAAGGAATGGACTATTCCTGTATTCTATATGCGAGCACCACAAAGCTTTCCATTATGTTACACGACACAGAGTTCCTTATTAGTGTGACAAACACAATACAGAAACAGTGTGATCTGACAACATACTGATAGATTACTCTGTAACAAATGAAGAAAAAAAAAAGAAAAAACAGATGTGGCACCTCATGGTTTTACACAGTTACTTATTGGAAGATAAAATTTAAAAAAAAAAAAAAAAAAAGGACGTATATGTATGGTTGTCTATTAAAAATATATGTAAATCCATTATGTGGGAATGTGGCAAAATTGAATGTTCTCAGGCTAAATATGCTGCAATTCGAATTTGTGAATGTGGAAATTACAGCATTCTGTCCACCAGATGGCGCTGATGAGCATACGTGTTTCCTATGATAGACAGTGCCCTCTAGTTGCCATTAATACACAATGGAAAAGCCAGCTTATAAAAACTAACCCTTTGTTAGGACACACAGTGCTCAGCTCTAGTTTATAACTGATAATGAAATCTGCAAGCATAGTACTGTCAAGCTTAATTGGATGATAGTCTGATGTCTTTAGTCAGACAGACCTTGACAAGAGGACTTCCAAAGAGATTGCATAAAGTAAAGGGTTAGTTCACCTCTTCAGAAAAAAATGACAAAGTGAACACCATACACCCTCCCCAACTCCCCAGTTCCCACTGCACTTGCCTCAATGGGTGAAGAGCTGTCAGTACCCCCACACAGCCAATGTACACTGCACTTGCCTCAATGGGTGATGAGCTGTCAGTACCCACGCAGCCAATGTACACTGCACTTGCCTCAATGGGTGATGAGCTGTCAGTACCCACGCAGCCAATGTACACTGCACTTGCCTCAATGGGTGAAGAGCTGTCAGTACTCATGCAGCCAATGTAGTGGTCTGGGGGTTTTGAAATCTCCACTCTTCTTCCCCTTCTTTCTGTAGGGCTTCTGGGATGGATCTGTGCAATTCTGATTGGGGAGCACCACATATGACCGCTTTGATCAATCAGAATCACTCTGGTCTGTCCTGGAAGCCTACAGAAAAAAGTAGAAGAGCAGAGATTTCCAAACCCCAGACCACTACTTTGGTTGCGTAGGCACTGACAGCTCATCATCTGCAGAGCTAAGTACAGCACGGACCGGGGGGGGGGGGGGGGGGGGGGGGGGGGGGGGGTCAGGGGGATGTAGGGTGTTAGTTCAACTTTTTCTGAAACGGTGAACATTTTTTGTATTCCTCATATGTTTCTGTTGTGCCATCTGCTTGTGTTAAAAGGAATCCTATTCTCTTTGCATTTCCCCCTTCATGTGAAATTCCTACTGATCCTGTCAGTCCCTCTGCCTTCCCTATTTCAGTCTGACTACTCTAGCCATAGAAGCACATCCTTCCCAGTGTGGTCAGCATTTTGGCTGTGCCAGCAGTATAGCCTGCCTGTCCTCCCATTGATAAGATTTGTGCTGCCACACCCCCCCGTACAGCCATTCACTGGGAAGAGTGTACTGCTGTTCCTCTGCTCCTGCTGATAGTCCCCCCCCCCCCCGTAGTCTCCACCGCCACCTCTCCAAGCCCCTTTTGCTGCTGAGAATAAAGGTCTTGCAAACACTTGTAAAAAAAAGAGCAAAAAAAAAAGTATTTAGAATTTTTGTATATACTGCATCTCTCATATATATATATATATATATATATATATATATATATATATATATATATATATAAAAGCGCATTGGAATAGCGCCTCTGCACACACTTTGCTTTGCATTTCTATTTTAAACTGAATGGATTTAACAAGGTGAGGGTTCACATATTCTTTAAAGTGGTCTCACAAGGCAGATTGCCCTCCCGCTTCCGTCAATCAAACTCTGTGATGAGGGTGGGGGGTGGGGCCTTGCCCCACTGTCTGTGTCCATGGACGCAGACAGCGTTGCTCAGGAGTGAGCCCGCAAGAGTGCCCCCAAAGGAAGCAGCTTGCTATAGAGGCACTGGGTGAAGAGGAGGAGCCAGGAGCGCAGGCAGGGAACCCGAGAGGAGCAGGATCGGGGCTGCTCTGTGCAAAATCATCACACAGAGCAGTTAAGTATGACACTTTTATTATTTTAATTAAAAAAAAAAAAAACTAAAGCTTATTTTATCAGAAAAAAATACAGAAAATAAAAGACTACATTTCCCTTTTTAATGGATGGAGGGTTTGGATGGAACTTCCGTGCGTCACTAGGACACAGACTGGCAGCAATGGATATTCGATTAGTTGTGGATCTGTTCTGTATCTTTCTATAATTCGAAACTTGTTCTGAAAGGAAAGACAAAAAGCAAATCTACTAGAGAGGAGTACAACAGAGGGACTGCATCAACATGGCATCAGGGTAATGGGCGCTTCAGTGAATTCATAAAATCATAACACTGATTAAAGCCTACTCATAACTAAGAATGAGACACTGTGCCGAGAAGAAGCGGGTTATTCAAACTGCAATCGGCAATTTCGTCATCAGCAAAAAATGGCATCAGCTGCTTCAACCAGCATAGCTAAAGGCTTCCATCACCAGCAGAAAGAAGAGCTGGGGGCTCATTCCTTGCATGCGCTGCCTGCTCTCCGCTGCCAGCCTGTGAACACTGGATTATCTGAACTGCAATTCTGTCATGCTAAATTGAACTTGGCCTGGAGCTTGGGTTGATGCTGAAACCTGTATGCTTCTCCCTGTGTCCCTGGAAGTCCCTCAACGGAGAGCATATCAGACCTGATTCCTAAAGCCAAACTGAACTCTACTTGATCACCACAAACTGAAAACCTTCCTTAATTCCTTAACATTTTTAATATTCAAAGCAAGCTTCCCCATCCATATCTCCATGCTTTATTTTGTTGAGAAATCCCCACCCTACTAGCATTTCTAGCCATGGCCATCTTATGTAAGGGCAAACAATTCATGTAGTATTTACTTCCTGGAATCCATCTGCCCTTAGCTCAGGCATGCAGGCAGGAGGGTGTGCTTAGCTCCAGGTGAAAGAAAACAAATGCCCACAAAGACTCCTGGGATGTATCATTTAC